ATTCATATATAAAAGAATATATATATATATATATATATATATATATATATATATATATATATATATATATATATATATATATATATATATATATATATATATATATATATATATATATATATATTATTCGCCAAAACCCTGTCACAAAAAAAAAAATGTAAGATTAAGATTTATGTAGTAAGCGCATATCTATAACTGTTACCTTCTCTAAAAACATGAGACTATAAAATTTTAATTAGTGATTATATTTATACAATTCACCTATTTATTTTTAATATGTCAAGACACTAAAAATGGAAACTTAAAAGTCTTAACCATTATTATAGAATCAAATTCCAATCACAATTTATATCAATTTTTTTATGGGCGAACTCAATTGCAACCATTACACTGATAAATTCGGAAATGAGAGAATTGGACAAACCCAAACCAACAACATAAGCTCCCATAAAACGGCCTCCATCACTATTTCTGGCAATACCACCACACAAAGAAAGATCGGAAGAAGAAACAGTAGCACCATCACAATTAATTTTAATTCAGTTTTCAGGAGGAGGTTTTCAAATAACCTTAATAATATTCGGGGCTTTAAGAGGACAAATGATAACCCAAAAGCTCTTAAGGATTTCAAAAAGTCTGCATATCTAGGAAAGTTGCATCCGCGTAATTGGAAGCACAAGAAATAACCTCCAAAATAGAAGATGTGAAAGAAGAAATATTAAAACTAAAGTTCTTAAATCCGACCTTGTTACGAGCTGTCCAAAAGGTATTAATAACAGAGACAATCACGACTATGGTGGTTATTTTACACTAACCTGCACCACTTTTCTTAAAAAGATTGTCAATATCTGACCAACTAAGAATAACCTCTGATATTTAAGCTTTTACCCTAACCAATGCCAAAGCTGGACAATAACTTTACAATAAAAAAACAGGTGCTGAGATGATTCTTTATCCTCTTTACAAAGATCACACTGAGAAGGAAAGTCAAAATTGTGACGTTTCTATTACTCGTCCGTGGGCACCTTGTTGTGGAGAAGCTTCCACATAAAACATGACTTTAAGGGAGGAATAAACTTAGACCAAATCCAACGCTACCAATTCTTATGAAGACCTTTCGACCTTTTAAAATCATAATCGAATTTAGAGGAAATATCACTGTTTGGAGAGTGAAGGCAAACTTTCGAACTCAGGCGAAGGTCGAAGGGGGTATGGAAAGAAAGAATCCGAGATTGAATAGAAAAAGGAATATGAGTGTAAGATTTAGAAAAATCCCACTTATCGTTATCAATAATGCTTCTAACTTTTTGATCCACTATGGAAGCTGGATCGACCATCGGATATGAAGAGGATCCACACATTAGTTGTCAAACCAAAGGCTAAGAGACTCGCCATTACCCAAACACCAAGAGGAGTTTGCCTAAATAGTGAATAACTCCGATTTGAGACTAGACCAAATAGAAGAATAAATGTGATACTTTATGCGATTACCTTTTCTGAGAACTCTTTGTCTAAGCAAGAATGCCCAAGAATTGGTAGAATTACAGAAATCCCAAGCAAGCTTTAGATTGTATGCTTCATTTAATTTAACAAGCGATCTCAAACCTAGGCCACCTTCCTCTAACGGATGGCACATGGTATGCCAAGCCACTGTTATTACTTTAGACTTGGATGTTTCACCACTCCAGATAAAACACTTAGCCGCCTTCTCCATATCTCAAATAAGAGAAATATTCCAAGTATAAATAACTATACTATGAGTAAGCATACTTTGAATGACAGATTTCACAAGCTCCACTCTACCGGTGAACAAAAGTAAGGCATCCTTCCAAGAAGCTAACTTATTAATGACATTATCTGCAATAGGACGCAAATAAGCCGCCTTAGGTTTACCTTTGAAAATAGAGACACCAAGATAGACAAAAGGAGTAGAACATATTCTGAAACCTGGGAGATTTGACAAAATATTCAACCTGGAAGAACTCATGGCTCCACCAAAAATGTGAGATTTAATGCAATTTACTCTTTGACTCGAAGCATCCTCATACTCTTCAAAAACAAAAATGAGAGACTTTATGTTGGAGATTTTTCCTTTGCAAAATATGAAAACATCATCTGCGTAGAGAATATGAGAAGGAACAAAGATGCTATTAGGCCCCTTGATTAACTCAAGCTTCTTTGAGGAGACAAGTAAACTAATATGTCTGCTAAGAACTTCTTCTGCAAGACAAAAAAGCAACAAAGAGAGCGGGTAACCTTGTCGGAAACCACGAGAACAAGGGAAGTATCCATTAAGCACGCCATTGACATTAGCCGATAAGAGCGCGAAATAAAGAATATTCTTGATCCATAAACAAAATTTAGCATTAAAGTCAAACTTCTTAATAACTTGCAGTAAAAAGTCCCAGTTAAGAGTATCGGAGGCTTTAGTGATGTCTACTTTCAGAGCAATGTTACCACACTAAGTCTTAGAGTCCAGAAGGTTGAATGCCTCAGACGCCAAACCAATACAATCATGCATGTGCCTTCCCTGAATAAAACCACGTTGCTTCTGCAAAACGAGCAACGGCATAATAACAACAAGCCATTCCGCTAAGACCTTAGAGATGACTTTAAACTTGAAGTTAGAAACTGCAATGGGAAGGAAAAGATCCAACGAAGCAACGCCTTTGAATTTGAGAATAAGAGTGATATAATTAGCATGGAACCTAAGGAGGACCCAACTTGTGTTAAAGAAAGGAATAACAATCTTCGATACGTCGTGTTTGGCAAAATTTCAAAAAGTCTGATAGAACACATTCCCGAATCCATCTTAACCAGGCGCGCTGTCACTATTCAGATTGAAAACAGCTGCAGAAATTTCCTCGAGAGAAGAGATGGTTGTCAAAATATTATTTGTTGCTTCGCCCACCAATAGGGATATCTACCAAATTGGAATCCTGCAAAAGAGAAGTGTTAGCAGAAAACATATTAGCAAAATAGTTCACCGCACACTCCACTATCTCCTTAGAGTCCGTAAGAATTTTATCTCCATTCATGAGCATGGAAATATGTCTAAATTTCTACTTAATTTTAGTGATGCGATGAAAATAAGTCGTATTTCGATCACCCTCACGATTCCATTTAACTTTAAATTTATTCCTCTAGAAATTCTCTCCCATGACTAGAGCTTTAGGGTGTGATTGGTTGTAAGATGAATATGAGAAGAGAGAAAGATGTGAGAAAGAGTGTGAGAAGAGAGAGAAAAATAAGAAATAGAGTAGATTTGATATATTGTTTGTTATAAGAGAAGTATGAGAGAAATAAGAGAGAAAGAAGTGTAATTATTTTTAATAAGACAAAATTACCCTTTAAGTAAAAAAGTTACTACACTATAATTTAAAAAAATATATAAAAATTAATAATATATTAATTGAGTAAAATTGAAAAATTAACACTCTTTCTCATTTCTCTCTAATTATGAGAAAATTGAAAAAATAATGGGATCCATATATTATAACTCTCTCTTCTCTTTCTCACCCCAACCAAACAAGAGAAGTGGCATTCCTCTCTTCAACCTCTCTCTCTCTTCTTTTTCCCCTCTACCAAACATACCTTTAGAGAGATTGTTAGTCTTTGATTTCTATTCATAAATTTAAAATCAATGATATAAAAAATAATTTTAAAATAAAATTAAAGTAATTATAACTTCGATCTCTATTTTATCTTGTTTTTAAATTAATTCACTAATTTCAAATTTAAACAGCTTTAATTCGTTTCTATTAATTTTAATTTAAAATTAGATACTTATATATTATTAAATGATGTCATATAGAAATATTTATAAAAATTTAAAAATAAAAAAAAAATTGCATTTCATTTAAAAAAATTCATGATTAGTTTTTCAATGCAACGCTGTGAAAATGGAGTAAAAACATTTGAAAATTTTTAAAATAAATAATATATTTTATGTATTATTAAAAAATAGACACACTTTTAATTTTTGTTATAAAAAATTATAAAAGAAAAATTAAAACTATTTAAATTTAAAATAGAATATTTAATTAAATGAATGAAGTAAAATAGAAAGATAAAAACTATAATTTAATTTAAATTTAAATAGAAGAAATTTTTTATTTTATTTTATTATTTAAAGTATTCCTTTTTTTTATAAAAGACAATTATTTTTTTAAGTTGATTTGAAATTTAAGAAATTTGAAGATTAATTCAATTAATAAAGATTTAAATCACCGACAATATGAAAATTCATTTTTCCTTATCCTTTAACTTTAGAACTTTTTAATTATATTTTAATAAACTTAATTCAACACACCTTAACTTTATTTATTAAAAATAACATGAGTATGTTTGGCCCAAAAACAATAAATAAAATAGAAAATGTAACATAAAATAACAACAATGACATAACATAATAACGTGGGTGGAAGTAACCGAGAGAGTTTCCATTGAAGTTTCATTTGCTTGAGGAGAGAGAAAGACACGGAAAGAGAGAGAGAAAGAGAGAGAGAGAGTGTTATCTTATCATAGCAATAACATAACTCATTCTCGTGAACCCAAATTTCATCTCTTTCTCATTTATAGTTCTTCTTTTGGTTTCTGTACACCCTTTTGTCAGAAATTGCATTCTCATAATTCAATTTATCATTATTTTCTCTCCTTAACAATCTTTTGATAGAGAGAGATAGAGAAAATGTTTCTTAAGAATTGAAAGATGATGATTGATTGATCCCCCACCTACTTTATTTGACTTTGGAATCAATTCAATTATCATCCAATAATTTCCCCTATCAATCTTTCGATTTCTCATTGAGTTTTTGGGTCATTGAGGTTTTGTATATTTTCATTTGGCATTTTTGTTTTTGTTTGATGGTCGAAAAACTTTGAGTGAACAAGAATTTTTGGGATATTTTTTTTTATTTGTTGGGTGTTTTTGATTCCTCAAAGTTTGTTTTTTATTGTGTGGTTCACTTTTTGTGTTGATCAATTTCATATTTGTGATAATGGGTTGTGTAAGTTCCAAACAAAAGAGATGTAATCATTGCAACACACCTTATTGTTCTGCTTCTAGAAGCTACACAATGCATGTACATCATCCACCTCAAAGCAAAGGAGATAGTTATCATCTTGTAGCATTGACATCAACTACATTAGGTTCTTTGGAGCTTGTATCTCATAGTCCAAGCAATGGCTTTGTTCCGACCTCAGGTCCACTACACGCAGAGAATAAGCGATGCAGTGGATTTGAGATCGGAACAAATTTCATGTTTTCCAATGGAAAGGTTAATGAGAGTTTCAAAGTGGAGGAAGAGAATGAGGCCAAGACATGGTCTAGTAAGATTGTGGAGAAGTTGCCAAAATCTATTGTCAAGAATCAAGTCACAAAACCAACCTGTGAGCTTGATGAGAAGGAAACTATCATCAACACATGGGAACTAATGGAAGGGCTTGAAGATACGTGTCCTTTACAATCACCAAATCACTTAAAAACGTTCTCTTTGGATGTCAATGTTAATGGCAATGTTGGACCACAAAAGACTAGTTTCATGGAGAATGATGATGATGGGATTGATTTACACAAACCCAAGTTGGATCCAATGATTGAGGAGGGTTCAATTGATCTCAAGGTTAAAGTTTTAGATTTTGATGATTTTAAAGTTGTTTCCTCATTCAAGGATTCATTTCAAGAGAATCCAGAAGGGATGGATAAGAAGATATCCTTTTTTGAGGAAAAGAAAATCAATGATGATGTTTTTGTAGATTTCAAGGTTTCCTCACATGGGAAGAAGGAAAAAGTTGTCTTGTATTTCACAAGCTTACGTATGGTGAGAAAAACTTATGAAGATTGTTGCCATGTTAAGATGATTTTGAAGGGATTAGGCATAAGGGTTGATGAGAGAGATGTGTCAATGCATTTAGAATTCAAAGAAGAGCTCAAGGAGTTACTTAGTGAAGAGTATGGTAAAGGAGGATTACCAAAGGTGTTTATTGGAAGGAAATACATTGGTGGAGTTGAGGAAATTCAAAAACTTCATGATGATAAGAAGCTTGAGAAATTGCTTGATTGTTGTGAAAAGATTGATGAGATTGAAGGAGGAGATAATGGTGGATGTGAAGTTTGTGGTGATATAAAGTTTGTTCCTTGTGAAACATGTTATGGAAGTTGTAAAATTTACTATGAAGATGATTGTGAAGTTGGTGAGTTTGGATTTCAAAGGTGTTCTTATTGCAATGAAAATGGACTAGTTAGATGTTCCATGTGTTGTTTCTAGTTCAATATTTTGTTTTGACATTTAACTTAAGATACTTAGGATCAATGTTTGAGTTGTGTGTTATATGTGTGATTTGTTGATTATTGTTTTTTTTTTTTGTTGTATAGTGAAGTTTGGATTTGGTTGATCATCTATAAGACAAGACCAAGCATATATAGAAGGGTGAATAATTATGTATGATCATTTATAGTATATACTTTTTATTTTCCATTTTACATAAAACAAAGATGGCTTACAATTTCATTTCTTGCAAGATATGGTTACAATACAACAATTGAAAGAGTACAGTTTCATTTTGCAATCTTTCAATATGTTCTTCTTCTTCAGACAATTTCAAGATATGATGTTGTGATTACACTAAAGAAGTTGAATCTTACATAGGTCTCATAAATTGACGTGTTTACTGTTTGTTTGTGTGGGTTGTTTTAGACATTAAGTTCCATATGTGATAGAAAGTGAGGAGTCTAAAAAATTGTTAAGAAATTTGGTCGGGTTTAACCCAATTTTATAAAATTGGTTTGTAAAGTTAGAATTATCTGTATTTATAAGGATATGTTCAAACCGTGTATTGTTTTTAACACATTTTTTCACACTCAAAATTAAATATCTAGAGCGTGGAAGGAAATGATGGGTGACCTAATAGTAAAAATCTGATAACAGGTGGTCTATCGAATCTTAATCGAGAGTCATGATATCATGTTAAGAAATGTGGTTGAGTTTAACTCAATTTTACAAAATCGATTTGTAGCATGAAGATAACTCTCACTCAGAAAAACAAGTTCAGATTATATATTGTCTGATTTAAAATTCTTAACTGAAAGATGCATTAAGTTTATGCTTGATATGTGTTGAAAATGATAAACCTCTAGAAAATGAATTAAATTTATGTTTAATATATTAAGAGTGAGGTGTGATTGAGAATTAAGAGCTTTTATATATATATATATATATATATATATATATATATATATATATATATATATATATATATATATATATATATATATATATATATATATATATATATATATATATATATATATATATATATATATATATATATATATATATATATATATATATATATATATATATATATATATATATGTTTAATGTGATAAGAGTGGAGTGCGATTGAAAGATACTTTAAATTAAATATTTAAAAATTTTAAAATATTTCAATTTAAAAATTTTAAAATATTTTTATTTAAAAATCTTTGGATATAATATAAAAATCATCTTATATATTTAACATTTTCTCTATTTCTAATGCACATAAACTCTAATATTTTAAACTCTGAAATTTTTAATTAATAATATTGATTTTTTGCAAACTAACACAAAATACTATTTTAAGGGTTCACTTCAAAGTTGAAAAGAAGTTTTCGAGATTGTTAATGTTATGTTATGATTGTTGCATGGTGCCCAAGTTGAGGTACCTATAAATTTATGGAATATAAAAATTAAAGTTCCATTTGCTGCCATTTGCATAAAGTTGTGTCGCTAAAGATAAGTAATGATGCAAATGATTTGTGACAATGAAGCTATCTTTTTTGTGCACCTACTCACTTAGAACTCCCCTTTTAATGATGTTCATGTAAAAGATGAAACCCAGAGAAAAGCCATCAAGATTCTTTACCTCCATATTTTCTCTATAAAGTGCATGTATAGATTTTCTTGTATTTATAAATTAACTTAGGATTAATATTGATTTTTTTCTAATACATTTTCTTACACATGCACAATTGAGTTTTATGTGTATAGTTAAACACCCGTACATCCAAACGGATTAAAAAAACTTTATATTGCATGTTTGATTTTTTTTAATAAACTACTAATATATAAAATAAAAATAAAAGTAAAAAAGTATAAAATATTGAGGGGATTAAATCTGACTCGGTAAAATTATATCACAAATAATAGATATTTTAAACAGAATAAACCTATTACAACGATGATAAAAAAAAGAAGTAAAAATACACGCAACACATATACTAATCAAACAAATTTGATTACAAGAATAAAATTAGATAGCAAAAGAAAAGATGTTGTGTGGATCTTCACAATTTTAAAGTAACGAGGAATGAATTGACCGTCAACATGAACCAAATCACGTACCAACAATTCTCTATAATAAATTACAGAAAATATAAAAGTTCTTTCAAATTAAACAAACCTATATCACCAGCAACTCAGCGACAAGGATGTGAATCATAACAAAATCGTTGTTGTGGCATCAACCTAAACGCTTTGATAACTGTATATTTCAACAAATCTGAATCGAATCAGAAATAAAAAACAAGACAAACACTACCCACACGAAATCAGAAATCACATCAGAGAACATGAGGCTTAAAAGCATCGAAAACCGCGTTGGAGAAGGAGATCACAGAACCCGAGATTTATCCAACCCCCGGCAGTGAGCGATTTCTCCACCCACGTACCAAATTCTGGTGAGGACTCAACTGGAAAAAAAACACCATGACTCCAAATCAAAAGAAAACAATCTTTTATCATGAGTACTGTAACCTCAAAACCAAATTCAGCAAAACCATATATGAAAAGACTTAAAATGAATATGAAACTGAAACGGTAACACAAATCCAACTCAAACCACAACCTTCTTTCATGCCTATCTGAAAACTACCACTGACTTATGATGAATGATCCGCTGTCGCAGACGAATCAAAAATGTGTATTTTGTAAAATGCAGTATAGCGACAATGGCTCGAGTCGTATCGCAAGGATTCTTGATTTTATTATTAACTAATAAAAATCGAATGGGGGTTGGTTTTAGGATCGATTCATAACACGAAATAAGTGATTAAAATAAGTGATTATAAAAATAAGTCGATCTACTGTTTTCAAGTTCATGCTAATCATTGGTTTTTAACTTACCAATTCCCTAAGCGGCTTCGACCTCTATTTGATTTCAATACCAATTGACAAGCGCAATAGATATAAAATAGATTGAATTCCCATTCCGAATTAAGCAAGCGGATTAATACAATCGTGAATTAAGCAAACACGATATAAAATGCGATTTAACGACTAAGCGACGTAAACAACGATTAAAGATTAGGAATACAATCATACGAATTTAATCAAGACATTCCATAAAATAACAGATTAAGCAAATGCAATTTCATAAAATAGAATTGAAAGAGAAATTAAATTGAATTGATAAATTAAAAACCTCAAAGCATCGGAACGCGATTACAGTAGATCAACTCTGGATGATTAGTTCTTCATTCAAGCGTAAAAGCAAAATGTATTTTTTCTGAATAATGAAAAGGTCTAAAACTAAATTACTATAGCGGCTGCTAGGTATAGAAAAGACAAAGATTCGGTTCATAACCCAACTGGGTCGAAAACATAACCCAGACCCAAAACAAATGACCCAAAACTTAAATATAAAATGCTGCAACTTCAACGAATTTTATGGCCCTTCTACAGTCCGATTCAGCTCTCGACTTCTAAATGAAAATCGTAGCTCTTTCTCTTAGCTTTTCAACAACTGGTAGCACGCCTCATTCCAACTTCCGTAGCTCAAGTTATGAATTTATTCGTGCAGACTGCTAATACTGAAAGTAAAGTGCGAAAATCAAATAAGAGTAGAAATAAACTAAAATAGAAAAACACTATAAAATACAAAAATAAGCTAAACAAACCATGCATAAGTACAATCATGGAAGAATGTGTATCAAAATGCACAGATCAAATTTCCCCACACTTGAACTTTTGCATTCCGAGCAAAATTAAATAAAACAAAACAAAGAAAACACAAACACATCATTGGCTACTCATTCTAGGCCACAAACTTTTCTTTGGTTAAGGTTGCATCAATAGGTACTAATCTTGCACACTAAGGATATCGTAGGAACACTAATCTTGCCTCCTGAATATACAAATCAATTTGAATCATATTATTATGCAAAAGCCTAACTTACTCATCCTCCTTCTTGCTTTTTTTCATTCAGGTGCAATCACATTAAATCCGTTATCTCCACACACTCATAGCAAAGTGATCCGTTAGTGACTCTGATCCTTTTTGGATTCTGATACTTACGTGGCATAACCCTTGCTTACTCAGTTGTAATTGCGGGGGATCTGACTGTAATCCGCCCTACCAAGTTCAGCACCAGAAACCACTGAAACAACTAACAACGAGTCTTATTATCAACTTTTTTTTTGTGTAGATTCTATGACCGTTGGGTTAAGTGATCGGGTGAGGGTCACCAAACTTAGAAGGCGCATTCATTTTTCTTTCCTTTTTTTCTTCAAATAAAACTTAAATCACTCACTTATTTTCATCGACTTCCTTGCGTAGAGTGCGTGTGAGATGGTGCTGACTGTTGAAATAAACTACTCAAGAGCTATTAAAAGATGAGAATCCAAGGCTACGTCATAATAAAAATTCAAATTAACTTCCATATACATGAGACTTACAGTGTTAAGACGATACCGATCTTGTGAATTTTTTCCAAGTCTCCACAACTAACCTCATATTAATCTATGACCCAAAACTTTCAAAAGGATGCATATTTTTTATTTTTTTTATAATTGAAAATAAAACAACAAACAAAAGCAAATAAAACAAAACAAATAAATAATTCTCTCTCCCACACTTAAAACACACATTGTCCTCATTAAAAGAAACAATCATAAAATAAGAGAGAGGAGAGAGAGGAAAGAACACATCCGAGAAGTCAAGGCAGATAGATGATCGCATAAGTAGCCTTTTCCAATGAGAGTACTTTTATAGTTTCTTCTTCCAACGTGGGACTCTCATTGAATAGCTTGAGGCGGTGTCCTTTGACTTTGCAATTTTTATCAGTACCTTCACTTTTTATTCCTAGATCAAAGAATGTTCTTTTAAAAGTAAAAGTGTCAAATGGGCACGTGAACGTGATCTCATCTTTCACAACATCAAGGATCAAAAGGTTACTGGGCTGCCTCACTGCTTTTGCTACATCTTCAAGTAAGATCCTATGCATGCA